CCTCTATATCCGCTATCAACAAATTGAACAAGTGTGGGCTCATTGGACAACCTTGCCTCACACCCCTTGCCGTCCAGAAGTTTTCTCCTTCCTCCTTCCCCGCTCTTACTTTACTCCTCGTTTCCTTGTATACCTCTTCTATCCTACTACTTAACCCTTCTCTTACCCCCCTCTTCCTTATCGCCTCCATTAACACCTCACTATCCACTGAGTCAAACGCCGCAGATCTATGAAGGCCGCTACTACCTTACCTCCCTTCTTCTTCACTTTTTTATTGATCAGGTAGTTTAGCACATATATACTGTCAATCACCCCCATTCCCTTCCTAAAGCCTGTTTGACTCTCCGGCAACATATTCCCCCTCTCTATTTCCTCCTTTAACCTTTCTGTTAGAATCCCCACATACACCTTATATAACGTTGGCATCAAAGTCACCCCTCTGTAGTTTTCCACCCTATTCCCCGTTCCCTTTTTTAACAGTGGTACTATTATCCCCTCTTTCCACCTCTCCGGCCATCCTTCCCCTCTCCAGACTCTGTTGCACATTTCCCATACCCACTCTTCTACCCTCTCTCCTCCATATTTCCATACCTCACTCGGTATCCCATCCTCCCCCGCTGCTTTTCCTTTCTTCAATTTTCCCAATATCCTCTTTACTTCCCCCCTGCTTATCTCCTGCTCCTCATCCCTCTCCCTTTTCTCTTTTCCTCCTCTTACAATTTTAACCTCTACCCCTCCCAATAAGTCCATGAAATATTCCTTCCACTCTTCCGCTTTTATCTCCTCATTCACTCCTTCTCTCTTCTTCCTTTCCCTGTTTATAATTTTCCATACCTCTCCTTCCGTTCTTGCCTCTATCGCTTCCTTGTACCATCTTATCCTCTCCTCCTCCCTTTTTCCTTTACACATTAGCTTATATTCTGCCCTTTCTTTTCTGTATCCTTCTCCTCCTCCTCCTTTCTTCCTCCATTCCCTTAGCTTTCTCCTCACTTCTTTCCTCTTCTCCTCACATTCCTCATCCCACCACCCTTTCTTTTTTCCTTCTCCACTCTCTTTTTCTCCTTCTCTCAATTCCTCTTCTATCCTTCCTATTTTTTCCTCTAGCTCCTCTTCCATTCCCTCTTTCCACCCCTCTCCATTCTATTTCCTCTCTTATTCTTTCTCCTCCCCTCTTCGTCCATCTCCCCTTTTTTCTTATTCCTTTTCCTTCCTTCCTTTCCCCTTTTCAGCACCTCCTCTTCTTTCTAACGTTACAATCAAAGGGTGATGGTCCGACTCTATGTTATCTCCCACCTCCATTCTCTTTATCTTTTCCTTTACTCTATCCTCTCCCACCACATAGTCTATCACCGATTCCCCTCTTCCTCCTGTATATGTGTACTCCCCCTCCCTATCCCCTCTAATCCCTCCGTTAAAAATTCCCCATCCCACTTCTTCTAGCTCTTTTATCAACTTCCTCCCATCCTCATTTACCTTCTTGTCCTTCGATCTTCTTTCCTCTTCCTCCTCTCCTCCTATCACTCCCCCCCTTCTACCTGTCCTTGCGTTGAAATCTCCTCCTAAAATCGTCCATTTGTCTTCTTCTTTCTTTTCCATCCATTCCTTCATTTCCTCCATTTTCCTTTCCATGTCCCCGTTAATGTATATACCTATTACCCTCCACTTCTCTCTTCCTACCTCTAAATCCGCCATCATTATTCCCTCCGCCTTTTCTCCCATTCCTGATACTTTTATCCTTCCCCTCTCCTCCTTTACCCCCATGATCATTCCCCCCATCGGTCTTCCTTTCTTCTTTCTCTTTTTTGCTGCTTGCTTCTCCCCATCTATATCCTTTCGGTAACCTCTTTTTAATCGCCTCCCACCCCTTTTCCTCTATCCATGTTTCCATCATCACCACTACCTCCCAATCCTCTATTTCCTTCCAGAATTTTTCTTCCTTGTTTTTCAACCCTGCCACATTCCAAAAACCTATCTTCCATTCCTCTCTTACTTCTCCTTTTTCCTTTCTCTCTGCTCCTTTCTTTCTTCTTTCTATCTCCGTCTCCCTTTCTCCCTCCTCCTTTCTCTTCTTACTACTCTTCTTCCCTTCTCCTTTCCTTCCTTCTTCTCTTCTCCCCTCTTCTATCCCTTTTTTTTCCTCCATTCTTGTCTTCATGCCCCCCTCTTCCACCTCCATTTTCTCCATTCCTTCTCTAATTTCTCCTTTCCAGTTCTTGAGCACTCTTTCTTCCTCCTCCCATTTCCACCAAACATCATTGATTTTTATCCTACCGTAGTTTGTCCACACCTTGTTCCCTTTCCTCTTTTCTTCCTCCGCAATTTCCATTATTCTCCATTTCATCTTTCTTTCCTCCCATGTTAGGTCGTCCTCTATCCTCACCCTCTTTCCTCTTAACAGACTCTTTTTTTTTCCATTACCTGTCTCTTTTGTTCTCTCTGCTGCCTAGTCTTACAACCACCATTTCTCCTTCCTTTCCCTCCTTTCCTTTCAACCTTCTTATCCATTCTATTTCCGTTTTCGCTCCTATTTCTTTCATTATTTTCTCCACTCTTTCTTTTATATCTCTTCCTTCCCTTCTTCTATTCTTCTTATCACGATGTTATTCCTTCTTTCTTCTCTCTCTTTCCACTCTAACTTCTTTCCTATGTCTCTCATTTTCCCCATTATTGACTCACCTAACCCCTTACTCCCTCCTTCTTCTCCCCCCTCTCTTTCTCTTTTTCTTCCTTTTTACTTCTCTTCTCTATTCTTGCCTCCAACTCTATCACCCCTTTTCCTCCAGTCTTTCTATCTCTTTTTTCCCATTTCTTTTCTTTCTTCTCTCCATTCCCCCTCCTTTTTTTTCCATATTTCAATCTTCAATTTTCTTATTTCCTCACCCAACTTCTCTGTAATCTTCTCTCCTATCTCCTCCATCATCCTCTTTAACTCCTCCTTTTCTATCCCCCCTACTTCTCTGTTCAGCCTTTCTGTTTTTTTTGCTCCTTCTCAGACTTCTTTCCTCTTCATCCTTATCCTCCTCTCCCCCTTCTTCTTCCCTTTTCCTTTTCAAGAAATCCTCTATACATCCCATACTGCTCCTCCTCTCTTTCGCTAACTCATCTACTCTTCTCGGCCTCCCTGCCTTCTTTTTTACTTCCTCCTCATCTCCCTCTTTCCCCCCTTCCTCAACCATCCTATCTCTAGTAGTCTCTATCCTCCTATCTCTACTATTCTCTTCACTAACATTCTTTTCCTCCTTATTCATTTTTCTCTTATCGCTTTCTTTCTTTGATTCACTTACTCTATGTTCTAATTCGCTCCAACTCGCTAGTGAATTCCCTAGTGAATTCCCTATTGAATTCCCTATCTTTCTATCTGCACCTGCTCTCTACACCTACTCTCTTTCTTCCACGTGTCTACGTGTCCACGTGTCTCACCTTTTCCTGCTTTCTATTTACTAACTCCTCCCCTTTTCCTTCTCCTATCCTTTCAATCTATCCTCCTCTTTTTCCTACGCCCTCTCACCTCCTATCTCCTATTCTCCTCTCCCCCCTTTTCTCACTCTTTCCTCACAAATACCTGCCACGCTTTCACACACCTGTCACTCACACTCTCACCGGAACCGGAACCGGAAGCCATATATTTTTTTATATTTTCTAAAATTTATATATATATAATGCATTGTAAAATATTCTCTCTCTCTCCTCTCTCTCTCCTCTCTCCACACACACACAACGGGGCCAATCTCTCAAATTGGTCCATGATCAATTAGCCTGGATTCGCACCAGGGCAAAGTCTGTTGGTAATGTAAACAAATTTAGCCTGGACTTGCACCAGGGGCAAGTCTTTTGGTCGAGTCTACAAAATTTAGCACGGACTCGAACCAGGGCAAGTTCTTTTTGGTTCAAGTCTACGAAATTTAGCACGGACTCGAACCAGGGGCAAAGTGTGTCGGTAAGGGGCAAAGTTCTATATCGCACGAAGATGGCGGTCTCTTCTTTAGGCAGGCCTTTGGCGATCTGTCTATTAATCTGTGTCCATGTAATATAAGGCAATCAAAACAGACGGAACGGAACGCGCGGAAATGCGGGACTCTAGTAAAGTTTAGTTACTTTCTCTTCCGCGTTTCCGCGTTTCCGCGTTTCCTCCGGCGCGTCCATGTAATCGCACCCTTAAGTAGGCAACTTTTATCCGATAAATACTATAATTATCTATACTTTCCAAATTCCTTCGTTCCTTGTTAGCACGATCGTATCGCGAGTATGATTCTTTCTGGTTTACCGCGTTATCTCCTTATGCGCGTACTCATGCGTTCCACAACGCATGCTCAACGCGCAACAGTTTTGCATATCACCTCGTTATCACGTGGCTCTTGTTTTTGTATACATTACATCATCGATGGTTTTGAAACGAAGTATTGAGAATAATGAACGAGGCCCTTATAAAGAACATTTGAAAAGGACTGGCGACC